CTAAGATGATTGTTGTAGGTAAAGAAAAAAATAAAAAATAAAAAAAAGAAACAACAACAAAAAAATACAATTCAATTTGCTATAATACCATCTCAGGATCTATGCCACAATACATTAACTACTTAAAAGAATGATAAAGAAAGTACTACATGTTGAGTATCCTTTTGAAAAATGATTGCTTAGGACCAGAAGTGTTTCAGATTTTTTTTTTTTTGAGATGAAGTTTCCCTCTGGTTGTGCAGGCCGGAGTGCAATGATGCGATCTTGGCTCACCCCAACATCTGCCTCCAGGGTTCAAGTGATTCTCCTGTCTCAGCCTCCCAAGCAGCTGGGATTACTGGCACGCGCCATCACGCCCTGCTAATTTTGTGTTTTTAGTAGAGATGGGGTTTCTCTATGATGGTCAAGCTGGTCTCGGACTCCTGATCTCAGGTGATCTGTCCAACTTGGCCTCCCAAAATGCTGGGATTACAGGCAAGAGCCAACGCACCTCGCCTTCAGATTTTTTGGGGGGAATATTTGCATTTTATAGTACTTAATGGTTGAGCATTCCTAACCCAAAAATCTGACATCCGTAATACTACAGTAAACATTTCCTTTGAGTATCAGGTCGGTGCTCAAAAAGTTTCAGATTGTACAGCATTTCTAATTTTGGATTTTCAGATTAGAAACACCCAACCTTATGGGCATGGTGGCTCACGCCTGTAATCCCAGCACTTTGGGAGGCTGAGGCGGGTGGATCACCTGAGGTGAGTTCAAGACCAGCCTGACCAACATGGTAAAACCCCATCTCTATTAAAAATACAAGATTAGCTGGGCATGGCCGTGCGTGCCTATAATCTCAGCTACTCGGGAGGCCAAGGCAGAATTGCTTGAACCCAGGAGGTGGAGGTTGCAATGAGCCAAGATTGCACCTTTGTACTCCAACCTGGAATGAAACTCCATCTCAAAAATAAAATAAAATAAAATAAGAAATACTCAACTTGTATAACAAAATGATAATTTGTATTGAGCAGAGCACTATACCAATCACCTCATGGCTATTCTCTCACTTAATCATTATAATAACCCTGTAAGTACTGTACTGGTTGTCTTGTCTCTGCTTTTCTTCTTCTTTTTCTTTGTTTTTTTTTTTCCCGAGACAGAGTCTCGCACTGTCGCCCAGGCTGGAGTGCAGTATTGTGATCTAGGCTCACTGCAACCTCCACCTCCCAGGTTCAAGCAATTCTCCTTGCCTCAACCTCCTGAGTAGCTGGGATTACAGGCACACCACCACACCCAACTAATTGTTTGTAATTTTTTTTTTTTTTCTTTTTTTGAGACGGAGTTTCAC